CCAGGAGAGGCGGGAGCTCCGTAAGCCTGGCCGCAGGAAGAAGCCTGGCCGCAGGTACAGCTTATGGCAGCTCTAAGATGCTTGAGCCAATGTTGTTTTAGCCAGGCGGATTTAATTTATGTTACAGCCCAGGGGCTTGTGTTTTGTTGTTGTTAGAACCGGTGGTTTGGGTGAGGCTATTAGGGGTTGGAGGAGGCCTCATAGGGGACCCACAGTAGTGTGGGGACCCCAGTGCCAGTAGGGGCGCAGCGTATGGGGTACATAAACCCCAGCCCCAGAGAGGAGCATTATTAGGAAGCCCAAGTTGGGCACCATGAGGCCCAGATAGGGGGCAGCATAATTGAGGAGCCCAAGTGTGGGCACTGTGAGCCCCAGATAGGGGGAAACATCATTAGGAAGCCCAAGTGTGAGCACGGTGAGCCCCAGAAAGGGGGGCAGCGTTATTAGGAAGCCCAAGTGTGGGCACGGTGAGCCCCAGAAAGGGGGGGCAACATTATCGGGGAGCCCAAGTTGGGCATGGAGAGCCCCAGATAGGGGGCAGCATTATCGGGGAGCCCAAGTTGGGCATGGAGAGCCCCAGATAGGGGGCAGCATTATCGGGGAGCCCAAGTTGGGCATGGAGAGCCCCAGATAGGGGGCAGCATTATCGGGGAGCCCAAGTTGGGCATGGAGAGCCCCAGATAGGGGGCAGCATTATCGGGGAGCCCAAGTTGGGCATGGAGAGCCCCAGATAGGGGGCAGCATTATCGGGGAGCCCAAGTTGGGCATGGAGAGCCCCAGATAGGGGGCAGCATTGTAGATAAGGCCCCAGAGAAGAGGGCGCAGAGTGAGAGAGGGCCGGAGAGAGCCCTAGCACCAGAGGGAGCGTGCATCAAAGGAAGAAAGGCCCGAGAGAGAACAGGAAGGGGCCAGATAGTGATAGAGCTGAGACAACAGCTATTCCATTGGTGAGCTGTGGACTGCGGTGTAGGGGAGGAAACGGAGCTGCAGATAACGCCCCTAGCAGCGGGGTAGCACAAGGGCAGCCTCCTGCTAATTAACACCGATTAATCAATTAATAACAAGGCATGGCAGGCCAGTAGGCGGGTGGTTGCCCCAGGAACAGGTGTGCGGGCCACATTAAGGTTGGCCTAGAGTGGGCTACCTGTCACAGAAGATCATCAAGGAGCACATCTGTGATGGGCCGGCATCGGGGATGATGCTCAAGGGCAGCCAGCACGGTTTCATTAGGGGCAGGTCATGTCAGACCAACCTGATTGCCTTTTACGATCAGGTCACAAAAGCACTGGATGCAGGTGTCACTGTGGATGTAGTCTTTCTGGACTTCAGCAAGGCCTTTGACACTGTTGACCACCCCATCCTCATTATAAAACTAGGCGACTGTAGCATTGATGCCTACATGGTCAGATGGATTGCAAATTGGCTGAAGGGTCATACTCAGAGGGTGGTGGTGGACAGGTCATATTCGACCTGGGGGGAAGTGGGCAACGGAGTCCCCCAGGGCTCGGTCCTTGGGCCCACGCTGTTCAATTTCTTTATCAGCGATTTGGACGACGGGGTGAAAAGCAACCTGTTCAAATTTGCTGCTGATACCAAAATTTGGGGTGAGGTGGGCATGCTAGTAGGGAGGGAAAGACTGCAGAAAGACCTGGATAGGTTGCAAGAGTGGGCTAACAAAATAGGATGCGTTTCAATATGGACAAGTGCAGGGTGCTGCACTTGGGCAGTAGTAACCAGCAGCACACTTATAAGATGGGAAACTCCCTTCTCGAGAGCACAGAGGCAGAAAGGGATCTTGGAGTCATCATTGACTCCAAGATGAACATGGGCCGACAACGCGAGGTCACGTTTGGCAGAGCTAACCGGACCTTATCGTGCATCCACAGCTGCATCTCAAGTAGGTCCAAGGAGGTGATCCTCCCCCTCTACGCGACACTGGTCAGGCCGCAGCTGGAGTACTGTGTCCAGTTCTGGGCACCGCACTTCCAGAGGGATGTGGACAACATTGAGAGGGTCCAGAGGAGGGCCACCCACATGATCCAGGGACAGCAGGGCAGACCCTACAATGAGAGGCTATGGGACCTGAACCTGTTCCGCCTTCACAAGAGAAGGCTGAGGGGGGACCTGGTGACTGTCTATAAACTCACTAGGGGGGACCAGAAGGGTTTGGGAGAGACCTTGTTTCCCCTAGCGCCCCCCGGGATAACAAGGAATAACGGCCACAAGTTGTTGGAGAGTAGGTTTAGATTAGACATCCGTAAGAACAACTTCACAGTCAGGGCGGCTAGGATCTGGAACCAACTTCCAAGGGAAGTGGTGCTGGCTCCTATCCTGGGGGTCTTTAAGAAGAGGCTTGATGCCTACCTGACTGGGGTCATTTGAGCCCAGTTTTCCTCCTGCGTAGGCAGGGGGTCGGACTTGAAGATCTACAAGGTCCCTTCCAACCCTACTTCTATGATTCTATGAAATTTTTGCTGAATCTATTTGGAGAGCTTCAAATTGATCCAGTACTTTTAATTCGTCCCTTAATTCAATTCAAACTTGGAGATTTGGCCACCAAATTGGGGCAAATCTACTCCAAATAGAATCAGCACCTGAAGCTTCACACAGCCCAATTAATTAAAAGTTTATTTCAATTTTAAAAGAACCCTGCAAAATGCAAAAATACTACTTGGTAGGACTGTTCTGCCTTTTTTTACTCTACTTACTGCAAGTAGAAGGTAAAATGTTCAAATGCATCCAGAAGACCTAGGGGCACAAGCTCTGTTGAGTCCAGAAAGTGAAGGTGGGATTCAGATAAAAATCAGTGGGACTTGTGCTTCTAAGTCACTTAAGAGCATTTGGAAAATTTACCCACTTACCAATAGCCAGTATTTGTGTGCAAGAGAGGCAGAGATAGAAAACTTTGACTGACACCAACGCACTGTGAAATGCTGTCACAATTTTGTACTGGTATGTGGAAAACCCTTGACAATGGGAAATTGCAACATTTATGAGTGACAAAAGGCAGAAAGAAGGACACTGTCCATTCTTTTAAACATTTGAACCCCCAGGATTCATTAAACAGTTACATAAATGTTAGACCATTCCTTCCAAGATACCTGATCTGTTGCAAATAATTTAAATGTAAAAACCTGATAAAAACTTAAGAAGTGGGAAGTAGAGGAACACAATAGCCAGACAATCCAAGGGTATAAACTGTACCAGCTTTTTTTAATCATATCATCTAAAAAACTATGTACTAGTTGCAATCTCCTAAAACAGCCAGTATGTATTGTAAGAAATCCATACTTCAAATCCTCTGCATCAGATTGCTCTATACATACATGAATAGTTTGGCACTCTCTAGCCCCCACTGTATTTACCAAACTTTTGAAGGAGTAAAATGTAATGAAGAAATCATGTGTTTACTTAATGAGCTTGTGTTCACTCGTGTTTGGGAAAATACTGATAAAGAAAATCTACTTATTAGGGATGTGTGAAACAGTACCATTTCATTTCAACTTGCACTTCACAGGTTTGATGGGACAATGTTTCATTTTGAGTTTTGTTTAATTTCAAAAGCACTTTTCCATTTCATTTCCACATGGACACAACGCTGTTTCAACGTTTCGCCTATAGGCTATAATGAGGAAGCACAAACCTGCCTATAACCTTGTCATTTCTTGCCTGATTTGAATGAAACTTGCAGGGGTGGTATCCCCTTCTGATTCTATGAGGTCCAAGAAGTTTAAAGGATATAGGTGCAGGGGTTTATGGGAAACTGCACTTCAAATTCTTGAAACTAAAACTCATGTCACATGTATGTATTAAGCCACAGTGGGATGAAAGATTCCGGGATAGCGCCTGCTGAGCCTACAAATCTTGCCAAGTTTAAAGGAGATAGCTTCAGGGGTTTCTGGGAAACTGCACCTCAAGATGCCAACAAGCAAAACTCATGACATGGGTGACACTGTGTGTGTGTGTGTGTGTGTGTGTGTGTGTGTTAAGGTGTAGAGGGGTGAAAACTGCAGGCATGCTAGGCCCTGCTGAGGCTATGAAGCCTGCCAGCTTTCAAAGAGAGAGGTGCAGGGGGTTCTGGCTTCTGGGGCTCTGCACCTCAGGCTGCTGACAGGCAAAACTTGTGATATGGGTGCTTGTGCAGCTGTTTGTGTTAGGGCACAGGGGGTGAAAACTGCAGGACTGCTAGGCCCTGCTGTGGCCACAAATCCTGCCAGCTTTCAAGGAGATAAGTACAGGGGGGTTCTGGCTTCTGAGGCCCTGCACATCAGGTTGCTGACAGGCAAAACTTGTGACATGGGTGGGTGAGGCTGTGTGTGTGTTAAGGTACACCCTCACTGGTGCTGGAGCATCTACCCAGCAGTGTTCTGTGCCCCAAGGAGGTCTCCTCCTCCCCTACCACCTCAGACCAGTCCACAATTTTACATGACAACAGGTA